ATCAGATGTGCACAGGTGTAGCATATAGCTGGTATGATATGAACCAGGTGTGCACAGGTGTGTAAATCTAAAAAAGGGTGCAAAATCAGCACCACCTGGACGAAATTAGCACCAAATTTTGGGAAAAATCAGTGGATAAAAAAATCAACACCAGGCGTATTGGACACTCAACACCAGGTGTGGGGGAAATCAAGACCAGGTGTGTGGGGGGAATCAGCACCAGCCCAGTGGGGAGAAAATCAACACCAGGTGTAGGGGAAAACCAGCCCAAGATGAAAAAAAATTAGGACAAGGTTGGTAAAATTTAACAGATGGAAAGAATGTTAAGTTGTGGGTGAGTGACTTACTGTTTCTGACGCGGGTAGATCAAATCACGGGTGACCACCGCACAGCACATGGCGAGACTTCATTAGGGACCCACCATCTTACTTTTTCACAGCCACAATTCTGTGTTTATGTATGTATATATGTATATATATCAAGACTCCCTTACACGCTCTGTGCAACCACCATCTTCCCTTCAGAATATATTCTAGACTGGGTGACTAACGTTGCAGTTAGTTCCAGCTGGAAATTTCTGCGCTGATTAACTGTGTTTTCAGTTTCAGTTCTTTCTCAAATACAGTTTGAGAACACTGTTATAATCACTATTTTCCTGTGAAGTTATTGAGAAATTTAACTTTTTTTAATTTCCCTTACAGACATTTTTATTGAAAAAGATATGTTCACTAACAATACTATTCAATTTCATGTTTTCAGTACTCTATTTTACACAGGAAATTATTGTTTTTATCTAATTTTAGCGTCTTCAAAACTTATTTAATCATATTTTGGTATTATTTATTTTTTATTCATTATCGTTATCTTCAAATGCATGTGTTCAAAATGTTAATTATATATATACGTAAATGATATTTTAGATGTGATAATTCCATAGGTATTTTCCAAGCTGCGGCGTGTCCATATAAAAGTGAAATAATCTTAAGAGATGTTCATCTTGATGGCTGGGACTGTGGCTACTCAGCTCCCAGCTACACTGACAACACAGGTGTGTCTGCTGTGTTTCACCTGAAGCTCACCTGGTGAGTGGTCAGGCGCAGCCAGGAGGTGGCTGCTGTGTGCGCGCGTTGTCATGTTTGTGTGTGTACTCACCTATTTGTGGTTGCAGGAGTCGAGACATAACTCCTGGCCCCGCCTCTTAACTGTTCGTGTGTGTGTCAGGTGCGGTGTGCTAGCGCCGCCTGCCATCTACCGGATGAACTTTAAACCACAATTTTTTTAACGAAAAAATGCGGAGTATTATGTTCGCGACTGTACACGCCGGTTTACTAATTATGAAAGAATTTGTGCATTAATGACTCCTAAATGTTGCACGGAACAGACCAAGAAACAACTATAGTGAGCGTACATAAAACAGCCTAATTAATACTGTACATAATAGTTATTATTTTTACTAACTATGGGATCATTTTTCATATGGATTCTCTTATGTTATAAATCCTTGATGTTGTTGAGGGGCTCTTGATTTAAGGAATTGGATTGGTGCTCCACTTCCTTGAATCCAGTTGGAATGCTTCCATTGTTCTAGGACCTATATGACCCCAACGGGGTTAACGCTCCCCCATGAATATAATAATAATAATAATATAATAATAATAATAGTTATAAATATAATTTTGTAACTCCTATATAGAGCAGTATGTATAATTTTCATCAAGATGTGTAAGTTTATTCTTCTTAACTCGTTGGCAGTGAAGAATGTAGTTATATATATATTATGTATAATGATTAAAGAGACAAGTATAAATATAACAAATCAGTTTATTTATGGTTATATCACATTACTGGTGACGGACAATACCGATAAATAACACATGTACAACACTTAAATATCTTTATTGCCGAAACGTTTCGCCTGCACAACATCCTTCTTCAGTCGAACACATGCGAATATAACACAGGAGACAGTCGTATAACAATAGGTATTCAGCACTCGGGATAACCAAGATCACTATGAAGATAGACATCTTGTGGCGACTATGAGCGCCCACTCGTCTTGTTTACCTGACGTCACCAGAGCGTGGCATAGCAACCACACAGTAACGATCGTCAGGTCATGCTAAGGCTCTGGATTTTCACCCTCACTGCCTTGGCTAACCAAATCAATCTTCTGATGAAGAGTAAACAGTGGAAGCAGGAATCAATTTTCTAGCCACAAACAAATTACTACTAAATCGGTCGCCTTGTAAGACTGAACCATACGTATCAAAATTTGAATATTAAACTCAGGAGGGTTAACAACCCAGAATAACCTAATAAAGGCAAGCAGCGTGACTAATTTCCGTTGGAATCCTAAGGTCCTCTTCCCTAGGATTTAACCCACAACAGCAGACTAACTTCTAGGTATCAGTTTATTGCTAAGTAAACAAAGGCAGCATGTATCACAAGATTTTCCCTTGACTCGCACGATGATTGAGTCCGGGTTCTGTCTGCTGGATTTAGACGGTTCGAATGACCTTGACCGTAACAGTCAGTTCGATCAAATTACGAAAATGATAAGACCCCTCACGTTCCAAGCTCACCTCCCTCCAATCCACCTCCAGGAGCTCAGCTGGGAGTTCTGAAGGCAGTACTTCCTTCTAGTCCACCTCCACCTGAAGGCAGTACTTCCTTCTAGTCCACCTCCACCTGAAGGCAGTACTTCCTTCTAGTCCATCTACAGGAGCTCAACTGAGAGTTCTGAAGGTTGTACTTTCCTCACGCACATGCAGGCAAAATAACAAGCTAAAAGTCCTTAAGAAATGTTTTGAAGATTATTAAATGTATTATTAGTATAAACATGTCAATCCTAAGAATTATAAATATGCAAATCGTGGATAGTGAATTTGTCTCGTTTTAATGCCATTGTGGGAATTATTTCAGTGCAACAGAAACACAAACGGCCAACCTGGTTGGCTTTAACTTTAAACTTAAAACAACTTAAGTTTATTAATCAGAATACTTCGTGGTATATCGTGCATGGCAGCACTCTGGTACACAGAAGACCAGTGTTATTCTCAGTGCGACAACAATCAACAGATCATCACAATGGTATCGCTAATCCTGATTGCATAATTTTGAATATTTTAATAAGTTACCTCTTCTTGTATAACCTAACCTTTGGGACGTGATCAATGCAACATAACCTTTGTGACATAATGAATGAAAGATCGCTGACAAGCCTCTCATACAGGACCCTTTTAATGATGATGGGTATCGACGGAGCTGAATTTCCAGGGCCATAAAAATTCAAACAATTTTTTTTTAGAGATTTTTCGAAATATCTTAAAAATAAAAATACAAAATATTTTATAATCTGAAAATTAAATGTTGTGAACATTTCTTTTTTCGTTGTTTTGAATGCACTGGGTAGCAGAAGTCTATCAAACATTCCCATCTTTAGTATCGTAATTCCTCCAGTGTATCATACCCACAGAAACATTTGGGTGAGCTCAGTGGAACAGCACTGACAAGCATGTTAGCTGTGACTTAATGACGGTTCACGGCCGACTGAAACATCGACTCAAGTTTTCTTTATTAAGTTTGGTTATTTGCCAAAAATAAGCTTCCCATTGTCAGAAATTTAAAATGACATCAATGGGAGATAAACCATATAAATAAATTTTATAACCTGGGTCTGAATAACTCGTGAACACCAACTCGCTGGTCTTCACTATCCAGTCCATAAAACTGTTTTGCCAATATATGTAAAAGTTTCTCCGATGCACAGTCTCAAAAAAAATTATATCAGCAATTCAGTGTACCAGCAAAATCAAATGCATTTTAAACAGAGAACTTAAATTCAAAAGACCAGTTTACCTCACTGGAGGAAGTATGTTAACATATATTTCAAGGACTGACAAACTTTTTAAATAAATTCGCTTTAACTCCGTACTTTTTTTATTTAATGATAATTTTAAAATTCTTCCTATGACAGTATATATAAATGTTATCCGGAAGTATATTCGTCTAAATATTTAAAATCTTTATAAATGACAGGGGTCAGTATAGGCAGTTATGAAGAGTTGACCAATAACACAGTATGTCACTAAGCTCTCAGTAACTTGCTCTATGACCAGTGAAATATTTTCACGGTGTAAAGTGGTAGGGTTTTGTGTAGATACCTCTTTCAGCTCGCTAGAAAAAGCACTAGACTTTGGGCCCACTGTGTAAGGAGTCCGATTTTAATTTGCTGTCTAGCTGGTCTCACTTCTCATTGATCTTAAATGTTGTCTCATATTTCTATGGCTGCTGAGCTGGGGGTTTAATTTCCTTCACATTCTTTTGTTTTGAATCTTTCCTGGTAAATAATATGACACTGATTACCAGGTTATATATCCTGGGGATTTTGTCTTATTATATCTTTTGTGATGCATTGCTTCACGTACGACCTCTCAGGTATCGTTCCAGACCACGGAGATGAACTCTTCTCCAGGCTGAGGGACTGACCACCTCAAATAATTCTCCATCTTCATTTCACTACTGCCTCTGTATTTGACTGAAGAAGTCTACTATGTAGGCGAAATGTCTCATCAATAAAGATACCCAACTGTTGCACATGTGTCTTAATTATCAACTTCTCTGTATTTTATCCCATTTTGAATATATCCTCAATGAAATATTATTTAATAACAAATGTCATTAGGTAAATGGTCACAGATGAAACTAATGTGACATTTTATTGTGACAACGTTTCGCTCTCCAGGAACTGAAACGGCTTGACAAAGCTCCAGAAGAGTGAAACGTTGCCACAATAAAATGTCACAGTAGTTTCATCTGTGTCCATTTACCTAACATACTGTCGGTAATTCCATTACGTATTATTAAATATCATTACGATTCAGAAATGAAAAAAGAAGGTCACAATACCGAGCATGGAACAATTCATAAATATAATCCACACTTCTGAATGAATCTTTAAAACTGTCATGAATTACAAAAAATAATATCAATGTACTTACCCAAACCTCCATTCCACTATGCGTTTTCCTCCTCGGATCTTGACATCGTACATAGGAACGAACCTTTGTGGCATCCCTAAGTCAAGTGATCATGACGTCATACTTGAGGACCAATAGTAGTAGCATAGTATGGTCACGTGATCTTGACGTCATACTTGAGGACAAGTAGCAGTGGCACAGTATGGTCACGTGGTCTTGACGTCATACTCAAGCACCAATGAATGAGGCATGTGGATACATAATATTGACGTCATAACTGAGGGTCACAGAAATGTAGAACCAAGTGATTTTAATGTCATGTATGGTAATTATTAGGAGTAATATATCCAGAACTTGTAATGAGGAGGTCATCTCTGGTCATCTGCTGTGGTAGTACTATATGTACTGACTTACTTGTGACGTCACTCTTTTAATGGCAGCTGTACATTTTCCCCTCACACGGCCACATATCTGTAATGTAAAATAAAATGGCATAAAGATGGGAAGGTAAGAGTGAGTCATTCATCAAGACACAGCACAAGTGTATCTAACACGGGTCTCTCTCACACGATCACCTGTATCAGGTTAAGTAACAGCTGGCTTACCGTACCGACAAAGACACCAATGGAAATAAGTCATTTGTCTGCCATTCTTTTGATTATCCTAGGTAATTTACACTGTATGATAACTGTACTTATGTGTAACTGTGCCTAAATAAACCTACTTACCTTTTACACTGCATTTAAAAAAATCAGACATTCACCATCTAGTGGAGTGTTAAGACAGCTAAAACTTTCCTAAGGAAGGCCTCGGATATTGGCCGAAATATTCGGTTTGGCTTTCTAACTATTTTTTTTTTCAAAGGTTTATATCGCCAGTGCTGGAGTGACGCAAAATCTGTGCTTACTTAAATAATTTTTTCTCTACTCCTCACTGCGTTTTCCATAACAAAATTATTTGTCCTTGCCGACCCCCTGATCTAACTAATGAAAAACATTCTAAATATATAAGTTCGCCCCTTGATACAGAAAAGTATACTGTCATATTCGCTATACCTCTTTACGCGCACACGCACATGCACACGCACGCACACACACACACACACACACACACACACACACACACACACACACACACACACACACACACAACACACACACACACACACACACACACACACACACACACACACACCACACACACACACACACACACACGAGCTATAAATCGACCCTTGCAAGCACAATTAGGTGAGTACACACACACACACACAGGGAAAGAGTGGACCTAGTAGCGACCAGCGAAGAGGCGGAGTCAAGAGCTGTGACTCGATTCCTGCAACCAGAAACAGTTGAGCACAAATAGATGAGTACACACATTCCTAACTCAAAGCAAAGAACCGATGTCTCATTCTGTATTATCATGATAACAGTACTCTAGTGCATGGTGTGATCGAACCCACACAGACGCAACAAAGGGCCTTATATAACAGAAGTCCATATGGAAATCTGTTAACAATGCTAGTACACTAAAATGCCTCATTTGATTAATTATTCAAAATACAATTCGAGGAACTGTGTAATAATTATTTCTTCGTTTAGTGCAGCGTAATTATTCTGATTAATTTTTCATATAGTGTTGACAAAAGTTGATAAGGATGGGATGGATTCAGTTGGTGAACTGTTGCTGGTACCAGAGAGAAGACACAGGCTGCACAACAAGCTTTCATTGAGACAACGTTTTGCTCTGCGTAGAGCTGTTACAAGTGATGTCTTGCTAGTTTTACACAGAGCGAAACATAATTTCCAACAGGTTTACACAGAGTGAAATATGGTAAAGCTCTACACAGAGAGAAACATAATAAAGTTTTACACAAAGAGAAAGCTCCATAGAGAAAGAAACGTTGTCCCAGTAGAAGGTTGCTGCGGAACGTATGTATTTGTCACCAGTGGTAATGTGAGATTCATTTAGATGAAAGGAAAAGGAACAAGGGAACACAGCTGGAGACTAACCTTTCAGATGAACTAAAGGAACGTGAAGAATTCCTTCACTGTGAAGAGTAGTGAACAAATGTCGTACATTAGGAAGGTATTTAATGAAGATCAACTCTGTACGTGAATTAACTTAACATTTAAGAGGCACGTAAGTTCCCCAGTCTTCTCATAACATGTTCAACTTTCCACTATAATCTACCTTGTCCATAATTACTATCTCATTTGATTTGTTTCGTAAGGTGAAGTCCAGGATCTTTCCTTATTTCATGGTATAACTTAAAAGATATTTGAGGACAACTGTGCACCTACTGCCCCTGTCTACCTAGTAATAAATAAGTACTTAGGAGTTAGTCGGTTGAGAAACATTTCAGTGGGTATAAGTTTTAATATTTGGTTTTGTTTCGTTATCTTGGCTTAATAATCCTTAAGATATATTCTTCCTGTTAAGTGTTAATCTGTTACTACTTCCTTTTGTGTGTGATCACACACTCAGCTACTGCCCTGGGCCACCACCAACAGCCTGGCTGAGGACCACAATATACTGACGGAGAATCGAGCCACAACTTCTTGACCCGAATGACTTATACGAGTAATAATGCTATAATTATAACCGTAATATTTTTTAAGGGGTGGACGGGTTAACTAGTGGAAGGTCTCAGTCAGATGACCAAAAGCTCCAGCTGCGGGTCATCGTATAATTAAGACCCAAGACAGGAAACACTTGCTGTGTTTCCTGAAAAACCTTACCTAACCTACATGAGTGTACTAGTTCATGATATATATTATAACCTGCTTTTGCTTCCGGGTAATGAATACCACACTGAAAGACTGTGCTCACACGCCACAGTGAATCGAATGGGAGGAGGAGGGGAGTGGAGGGGACCAAAAGGTTTAGGAGGGGAAAGGAGGGTCTAAGGAGGAGGAGGGAGGGGGAAGGAGTCAGACTGGTGCCACTCGTTAAGAGCACACCACCACCTGCGGCTCCACGAACTCTGCCACTCCCGACGAGCCCCATGGGGAGGGGAAGGTGGCAGACCAGAGGCATAGCTTCTTCCTACGAGTCTGCGGGAAGACATTTTGAATGTCAACGACGTTCCCACAATGGGGAGCAAAGGCCGGGTCACCAACTGGCATACACCCGGGCCAGCCATACCGGCGAATCTCAAGAAGAATCCTTAACTTATTCTGGTACCATCAATGATATTTATGCAAGTTTCAACGTTACCAGACGGATAGAAGTTTTTCTTTACTTATTTGTGGTTAATTTTACGTTTTAGACGTTGGTGTAACTCTAACTATACGACACCTTAGCTAACATAACTTTACCTAACCTAACTTTACGAAACCTAAGGTAACACAACCTTCATTTAACTAAATCTAACCTAACCAATTTTAATCTTACTTAACCAAACTTGATCATACTTAAACAAACCTAACTTGACCTAATTTCCCTACCTAAGGCTGGTGACACCACGAGTGTCAGCTGGGTCACGTCAATAACATCACGAGCGTTAGCTAGGTCACGTCAGTGACATCACGAGTGTTAGCTAGGTCACGTCAGTGATACCGCGAGAGTCAGCTGGATTACGTCATTGACACAATACGAGTATCAGCTGGGTCACCTCAGTGACACCACGAGTGTCAGCTGGTCACCTCAGTGACTCACCGCCAGTGTCAGCTGGTCACCTCAGTGACACATCAACAGTGTCAGCTGGTCACCTCAGTGACACCAGCAGTGTCAGCTGGTCACCTCAGTGACTCACTGCCAGTGTCAGCTGGTCACCTCAGTGACACACCAGCAGTGTCAACTGGTCACCTCAGTGACACACCAGCAGTGTCAACTGGTCACCTCAGTGACACACCAACAGTGTCAACTGGTCACCTCAGTGACACACCAACAGTGTCAACTGGTCACCTCAGTGACACACCAACAGTGTCAACTGGTCACCTCAGTGACACACCAACAGTGTCAACTGGTCACCTCAGTGACACACCAGCAGTGTCAGCTGGTCACCTCAGGGACACACCAGCAGTGTCAGCTGGTCACCTCAGTGACACACCAGCAGTGTCAGCTGGTCACCTCAGTGACACACCTGGTACTGACCACACGACACTTCCGGTTAGGTCAGCCAACAATTGGAGTGACCCTTAAATTGATGTTGTTGGTGTTGTTGTTTTTGGTTTTGCTGTTGTTGGTGTTATTGTTGGAGGTGGTATTGTTATTGGTGTTGTTGTTAGTAGTGGTGCTGTTATTGGTGGTGGTGTTGTTATTATTGGTGGTGTTGGTGTTGTTGGCGTTGTTTCTGGTGTTGCTATTGTTAGCGGTGGTGTTGTTGGCGTTGTTGTCGGTGTTATTGGTGTTGTTGCTGGTGTTGTTGTTGTTGTTGTGTTGTTGTTGTTGCTGTTTATGGTGGGGGTCGTGGTGTTGGTGTTGTTGGTGGTGCTGGTGTTGGTGGTAGTGTTGTTGTTGGTGGTGGTGTTGTAATTGTTGTTGTTGTTGCTCTGATATGACTGGAGAAACAATAAACCTGGAGGGCATCATCATCAGGTTCTACCTAAGGAAAAGGAGAATAGCTCTAAACCCTTGGATCGACACCCTTCACCAGCATCAAGGAACCTCCGTATAGGGTCATTATACATCGTTATTTTTACTAAGGTGGTCCAGTTCATCTATTTCTGCAGGAACTACGACACGACCACTCTCTCGGTCTTATAAATTCAGGCTAGATCAGCTCAAATTATATTAACATTCATAAAGCAAATGTATGTATATTTAACTGTCAATAACCAAATTACATACATTTATAAATATATATGTAAACTGTTACACATGCATTTTTATAGGTTCATGTAACGTAACACAACCCAACTAAACTTAGCTTAATTAACGTGACATACTGTATTTTCCGGCATATAAGGCGCATGACAAAAGTACCATAATGTTAAATCAGTAATCTTTACATTAAAGCGTAACCCAAAGCCTACCCTTGACCCTGACCTTGACCATGTAAGGCCTATGGTGATTTTCTAAGACCTTTTGTGAGAAAATATGGTAATTTAAAAATTAGAGAAAATAGCGTTTGAGGTGAAAAAAGTGGAAGCGTTTTAAAAAGTGACGTTGAGCACCACGTCGTAAAATTGATGTTAACTCAATAAGAATGGGATGTAGTGATACACCCCAGGTGAACTAACTCGTTGGAAAACCAACGCTCGTCATGTACGGTGGTGAGGTGTCCGGAAAATTTGTCACGGGAAAAAGTCACAGCAAATAAGTCAGTTTTGGCTAGGGAAAAAAAGTCGCTGGGAAAAGGTCACATTTTATTTAGGTTAGGTTAGGTTGTGACCTCTTTTTCTGTGACTTCTTTTCGGTGACTTTTTTTCCTGGATCTGGAGGTGAGAGGACGGGCAGTTCCCACCACTCAGTCCACCTTCTTGTTGCATAACAACAATAATAAAATTATTATGGTTCTATTAACAGCATGAATGCCACATAAACACGCATTCCTTTGAATATTGCATACCTATGCCTTCTTCTCCTCCTCCTTCTTTGTCTTCGTTTTCTTCTTTCTCTTCCTCTTCCAACAGCCACCACCTGGGTTGACCTTGGCCGGGAACGTTTCTCGTGAAAAACATTAGTTGGCACCGCACTCGTTGTTGGCTAAATATATCCGTGTAGATTGTCACGAAATATGTAGGATTGTTGGGTCAAAATACATGGATTTGTGGGCTCAAAATGTAGTACATGGGTTTGCAGGGGGTCAAAATACATGGAAAGAAAAACAAAAAAGGCACAATACCGTGACTGGAACAATACATAAATAACCCGCACATAGGAGAGAGAAGGTCTCTCATTCCCTCTTTACCTTTTCATCTCTCACTCTCTCTCCTTCCTTTGTAACCTGGAAACTAGTAAGCTATAGTTGCTGAACCTAGTGAGTTTGCTAGATTCAAGATCTATCTGCTAAAATAGGGTTTAAACACTTAGTGTATAAACAGTGAGGTAACAACCCCTCAGTGCATATTTACAGTGATATAAACGCTTCTCTGTGTATATAGACAGTGATATAAACACCTCTCTTTGTATATAGACAGTGATATAAACACCTCTCGGAGTATGTAAATGTACTGGCAGAGATGTAAGCCATAGCTCCGTGTCTTCCTTTGCGGATAACACCCAGACTGTCATGACAGTGACCTCCATCGAAGACACCGCAAGACTCCAAGCGGACATCAGCCAAATCTTCAAATGAGCCACTGAAAACAATATGAAGTTCAATGAAGAGAAATTTCAACTACTCAGATATGGAAAACTTGAGGAAATTAAAACTGTATCAGGGTATACAACAAATTCTAATCATACAATAGAGCGAAAAAAGTAATGAGAAGGACCTGGGAGTGATAATGTCAGAGGATCTCGCCTTCAAAGACCACAACAAAGTATCTACCGTATCTGGTAGGAAAATGATAAGATGGATAATGAGGACCTTTAAAACTAGAGACGCCAAACCCATGATGATTCTCTTCAAATCGCTTCTCTCTAGGCTGGAATACTGCTGTACACTAACGGCCCCCTTCAAGGTAGGCGAAATTGCTGGCTTGGAGAGTGTACAAAGAACTTTCACGGCACACATAAGTACGATGAGGCACCTAAATTACTGGTAACGGTTGAAGTTCCTTGATTTGTATTCCCTGGAACGAAGGCGTGAGAGATACATGATAATATACACTTGGAAAATCCTAGAGGGATTAGTGCTAAACTTGCACACGAAAATCACTCCCAGTGAAAGCAAAAGACTCGGCAGGTGATCCAACATTCCCCCAATGAAAAGCAGAGCCGCCACGAGTACACTGAGAGACAACACAATAAGTGTCAGGGGCCCAAGACTGTTCAACTGCCTCCCAGCATACATAAGGGGGATTACCAATAGACCCCTGTCTTCAAGAAGGCACTGGACAGGCATCTAAAGTCAGTACCTGATCAGCTGGGCTGTGGTTCGTACATCAGTTTGCGTGCGGCCAGCAGTAACAGCCTGGTTGATCAGACCCTGATCCACCACCAGGCCTGGTCTCAGACCGAGCCGCGGGGGCGTTGACCCCCGAAACCTTCTTCAGGTACACTCCAGGTATATTCCAGGTATACTGAATGTTGAAATTAATACCGATCCTGCAAATGTCAATACTATTACTACTGTTGTTGCCGTTAAAGTAGTTGTACTGCTTCTACTGCAATAAATTCTACTACCACTAATACTACTACTACTACTATTACTAGTGTTGCTATTACCACTGCTAATCGTGCTACTGTTTTTGCTGTTACTGGTGATGTAGCTGCTACTGGTACAAATGCTAACACAGCTTCCACTATTACTACTGTTTCTATTAGAGCTCTTACTTGCCCGTACTTAAGAAGCTGCTGTGTCTTAGCTGTGACGTTCGTGGATGCAACTTCGGATTCCCAGTAAGAACGCTGCAGTTGTGCTTCACTACCACTCAGATAATTGTTCCACTTTCTCAAATTATTATTTATTTCTTCGTCTTTTCTCAATATTTAGCTCATTAAAAAGATGAGCTAAATACTCAGTTAATTAATCATTATTGCGATTATCGTAATCTCAAAAACCACACTTAAATATTCAATGTTAAAATGAGTTTGGAAAAAATATTGAAATGTGGCAATTAATTATGTTATCTTAATACTAATGACCCGCCGCTATTTTTGTTGGTAACTTGAAATGTAATAAAAAAATGTGTGTGTGTGTGTGTGTGTGTGTGTGTGTGTGTGTGTGTGTGTGTGTGTGTGTGTGTGTGTGTACGCGTAAAGTTATAATCCGTATTGAAATCACACGAAACTTGACGTCCCTCGGGAGGTGTGGTTAACATACTCAGTGAAGTCACTAGAGTAATGACTTGACACCTCCCGTTGAAGTCCACAACTACGTTAGTTAACACAATTCACTACGCAAGTGTGTACAAGCCAGTGTCGTTTTTCCAAGATAATCTATATCTCACACCGAACACTTGGTCTTGCACGTCACATGTCCTCACACTATGTCCCACTAAAATACAATCCATGTTTTAAAATACACAGCTTGACTTACAATGACACCTGTAATTTTTCACTAAACAAAAAGCTATGTCTGACACTTAACGTAATTTCAACATGATCAAAACAGTCATTTGATTGGTCCAAGCTTCATCTTCAAGGTTTTCCAAATTATTTTTAATGGATCCCGCGAACTATCTTGTTTAAAAGGTTCCATCCTTGCAACTTGCACCATTTAAAACTTTTTTCAAGTTATCGGGTTCAATGTACTAGCAATTTCAATAGCTCTTCCTAGACCATGGACTTTCTAGAGACGTGGTTAAACAGTCCACGAGCTGGCGCAAGATGTTGTGAATAGGCTTGTGTTTGTCTTGAGAAAAAATTATATGTCTATATTGGAAATAGACTCGTATGTGTATGAACAGAAACTTGTTCCCAGCAGTGGTAGGCTGGAAAGGTGAAGGAGGTGACAGTAGTGAAGCGACTGCAGTGAGAGGTGGACGTGGTGTGCCGTGGTGGTGGTGGTAGGGACGGTGGCAGTAGTAGTGCCGGAGGGGTTGCCGGGTGCCACTCTCACCTGGCACTTGAGCCTCGCCCGCTCAGACTTTCCGTTTTGAGGTGTGCATGTGAGCGAACATGCAGCTACATGGGTGTGTCGCCTACACAGCCGCCTGCATGACTCTCCTCCCCTCACCTACAAACCTGTCCAACACCTAGGACATGAAACAGGAACAGAGTTATAAGTCTGCCAATTTTTGGGTTATCTCAGTTTAAATCTGCATAAATTACCATCAATGTTTGTGTATAAGAACTATGTATTTATCTCAACCATTCTATAACTGTATAATAATGATTGTATAACTGTATAATAATAGTTGTATAACTGTATAATAATGATGTAAAACCATATTTAGAATCACATAAAAATCATCGGATACAATATACACATACATTCATACATCAAAGTATATTGATGATACATATTTATTATGCCAGATACAAACTCTTCCCTGATACAGTAACCAACCAGCAATCATACAAATTGTAAAACCATCCACTGTAACCTTTGATGTATTCTAATGATGTATAAATATGTTTACCTTTTATCTTTACGGTGTTACAAATGATACAAAGGTGGCACATATATTCACGGTATATAGATGTTATACTCTCATACTAAACTGTTGCAAACTCGTCTTTACAGCGTTATTTGCTGCGGTTATATTCCAAAGAGAGGTTACTAGCGTGTTACCTGAGTCCAGTTACTAGCGTGTTACCTGAGTCCAGTTACTAGCGTGTTACCTGAGTCCAGTTACTAGCGTGTTACCTGAGTCCAGTTACTAGCGCGTTACCTGAGTCCAGTTACTAGCGTGTTACCTGAGTCCAGTTACTAGCGTGTTCCCTGAGTCCAGTTACTAGCGTGTTACCTGAGTCCAGTTACTAGCGTGTTACCTGAGTCCAGTTACTAGCGTGTTACCTGAGTCCAGTTACTAGCGTGTTACCTGAGTCCAGTTACTAGCGCGTTACCTGAGTCCAGTTACTAGCGTGTTACCTGAGTCCAGTTACTAGCGCGTTACCTGAGTCCAGTTACTAGCGCGTTACCTGAGTCCAGTTACTAGCGCGTTACCTGAGTCCAGTTACTAGCGTGTTACCTGAGTCCAGTTACTAGCGTGTTACCTGAGTCCAGTTACTAGCGTGTTACCTGAGTCCAGTTACTAGCGTGTTACCTGAGTCCAGTTACTAGCGGTTACCTGAGTCCAGTTACTAGCGTGTTACCTGAGTCCAATTACTAGCGTGTTACCTGAGTCCAGTTACTAGCGTGTTACCTGAGTCCAGTTACTAGCGTGTTACCTGAGTCCAGTTACTAGCGTGTTACCTGAGTCCAGTTACTAGCGCGTTACCTGAGTCCAGTTACTAGCGTGTTACCTGAGTCCAGTTACTAAGCGTTTCCTGAGTCCAGTTACTAGCGTGTTACCTGATCCAGTTACTAGCGCTGTTACCTGAGTCCAGTTACTAGCGTGTTACCTGAGTCCAGTTACTAGCGGTTACCTGAGTCCAGTTACTAGCGTGTTACCTGAGTCCAGTTACTAGCGTGTTACCTGAGTCCAGTTACTAGCGTGTTACCTGAGTCCAGTTACTAGCGTGTTACCTGAGTCCAGTTACTAGCGTGTTACCTGAGTCCAGTTACTAGCGTGTTACCTGAATCCACCTAATTACCAAGGTAATTACCAAGGTTTTATGGTGGGGACTGTGTGCAGTGTATACGGTTATTTATGTCCATGTTACTGTGCGTGCTGTGCATGATCACGTTACTAAGCGTCGTTAGCCTGAGTCCATTATAGCGTTTAAAAGTAGTTACATTACTGAAGCGCGTTAAGTCTGGTATGATGCGTGATTACCTTTAGTTAAGTGATTACTGGAGTTAATGAGTACCGTTGTAATATGGACGTGTACTGAGTCAATTTACTAGCGTGTTACCTGAGTCAAGTTACTAGCGTGTTACCTGAGTCCAGTTACTAGCATGTTACCTGAATCCACCTAATTACCAAGGAATTACCAAGGTAGTGATGGTGGTGATGGTGGTGGTGGCAGTGGTGGTGGCAGTGGTGGTGGTATTGATGGTGGCAGTGGTGGTGGTAGCTGTGGTGGTGGTGGCAGTGCTGGTGGCAGTGATGGCAGACGTAATAAGACTGTGGTAATAGCGGTCATTGTAGCGCTCATTATTAGCGTTTAAAGTTGTTTACATTATCAAAATGGAAGGCTGTGTAAAGTCTGAGATAATGAGTGTGTGATTACCTTGTTGTAGTTAATGTGATTATTCTGTTGTAGTTAATGTGATTGCATTGTTGTAGTTAATGTGATTACCTTGTTGTAATTAATGTGATTATCTTGTGATAGACTTGTAGTATACTTTTGGTAAGCGTTCAGTTGTCGTATAGAACTTTCAAATTACCCGTGATTGTAGCTGTGTTGCGTATCTTGTGACCAGTAGCTGGAGGATGGAGCCTCCACCACTCTGTGACCAGTAGCTGGAGGATGGAGTCTCCACCACTCTGTGACCAACAGCTGGAGGATGGAGTCTCCACCACTTTGTGACCAGCAGCTGGAGGATGGAGCCTCCACCACTTTGTGACCAGCAGCTGGAGGATGGAGTCTCCACCACTCTGTGACCAGTAGCTGGAGGATGGAGTCTCCACCACTTTGTGACCAGTAGCTGGAGGATGGAGCTCTCACCACTCTGTGACCAGCAGCTGGAGGATGGAGCATCCACCACTCTGTGACCAGTAGCTGGAGGATGGAGCCTCCACCACTCTGTGACCAGCAGCTGGAGGATGGAGTCTCCACCACTCTGTGACCAACAGCTGGAGGATGGAGCCTCCACCACTCTGTGACCAGCAGCTGGAGGATGGAGTCTCCACCACTCTGTGACCAGTAGCTGGAGGATGGAGCCTCCACCACTCTGTGACCAGCAGCTGGAGGATGGAGTCTCCACCACTCTGTGACCAACAGCTGGAGGATGGAGCCTCCACCACTCTGTGACCAGCAGCTGGAGGATGGAGCCTCCACCACTCTGTGACCAGTAGCTGGAGGATGGAGCCTCCACCACTCTGTGACCAGTAGCTGGAGGATGGAGTCTCCACCACTCTGTGACAAGTAGCTGGAGGATGGAGTCTCCACCACTCTGTGACCAGTAGCTGGAGGATGGGGGTCTCCACCACTCTGTGACCAGTAGCTGGAGGATGGAGCCTCCACCACTCTGTGACCAGTAGCTGGAGGATGGAGCCTCCACCACTCTGTGACCAGCAGCTGGAGGATGGAGTCTCCACCACTCTGTGACCAGTAGCTGGAGGATGGAGCCTCCACCACTCTGTGACCAGTAGCTGGAGGATGGAGTCTCCACCACTCTGTGACCAGTAGCTGGAGGATGGAGTCTCCACCACTCTGTGACCAGTAGCTGGAGGATGGAGCCTCCACCACTCTGTGACCAGTAGCTGGGGGGAGGAGTCTCCACCACTCTGTGACCAGTAGCTGGGGGATGGAGTCTCCACCACTCTGTGACCAGTAGCTGGGAAGGAAAGGCCTCCACCACTTGTGACCAGTAGCTGGATGATGGAGTCTCCACCACTCTGTGACCAGTAGCTGGAGGATGGAGTTTCCACCACTCTGTGACCAGTAGCTGGAGGAGGGGAGCCTCCACCACTCTGGGGACCAGTAGCTGGAGGATGGAGCCTCAACCACTCTGTGACCAGTAGCTGGAGGATGGAGCCTCCACCACTCTGTGACCAGCAGCTGGAGGATGGAGCCTCCACCACTCTGTGACCAGTAGCGGGAGGTGGAGCCTCCACCACTCTGTGACCAGTAGCTGGGGGATGGAGCCTCCACCACTCTGTAAACCACTAGCTGGAGGATGGAGCCTCCACCACTCTGTGACCAGTAGCTGGAGGAGGGAGCCTCCACCACTCTGTAAACCAGTAGCTGGAGGATGGAGCCTCCACCACTCTGTGACCAGTACCTGGAGGATGGAGCCTCCACCACTCTGTGACCAGCAGCTGGAGGATGGAGCCTCCACCACTCTGTGACCACTAGCTGGAGGATGGAGTCTCCACCACTCTGTGACCAGTAGCTGGAGGATGGAGCCTCCACCACTCTGTGACCAGTAGCTGGAGGATGGAGCCCCCAAACCACTCTGTGACCACTAGCTGGAGGATGAGCCTCCACCACTCTGTGACCAGTACTGGAGGATGGAGCCTCCACCATCTGTGACCAGTAGCTGGAGGATGGAGCCTCCACCACTCTGTGACCAGTAGCTGGAGGATGGAGCCTCCACCACTCTGTAACCAGTAGCTGGAGGATGGAGCCTCCACCACTCTGTGACCAGTAGCTGGAGGATGGAGCCTCCACCACTCTGTGACCAGCAGCTGGAGGATGGAGCCTCCACCACTCTGTGACCAGCAGCTGGAGGATGGAGCCTCCACCACTCTGTGACCACTACTGGAGGATGGAGCCTCCACCACTCTGTGACCATAGTGGAGGAGGAGCCTCCCCACTCGTGACAGTAGTGAGATGGAGCCTCCACCACTCTGTGACCACTAGCTGGAGGATGGAGCCTCCACCACTCTGTGACCAGTAGCTGGAGGATGGAGCCTCCACCACTCTGTGACCAGTAGCTGGAGGATGGAGCCTCACCATTCTTGTGACCAGTAGCTGGAGGTTTGGAGCCTCCACCACCTGTGACCAGTAGCTGGAGGATGGAGCCTCCACCACTCTGTGACCACTAGCTGGAGGATGGAGCCTCCACCACTCTGTGACCAGTAGCTGGAGGATGGAGCCTCCACCACTCTGTGACCAGTAGCTGGAGGATGGAGCCTCCACCACTCTGTGACCAGTAGCTGGAGGATGGAGCCTCCACCACTCTGTGACCAGTACTGGAGGATGGAGCCTCCACCACTCGTGACCAGTAGCTGGAGGATGGACCCTCCACCACTCTGTGACCAGAGCTGGAGGATGGAGCTCCACCATTCTGTGACCAGCAGCTGGAGGATGGAGTCTCCACCACTGTGACCAACAGCTGGAGGATGGAGTCTTCACCACTCTGTGACTAAACATGGAGGTTTGGACCCTCCACCACTCTGTGACCAGTAGCTGGAGGATGGAGTCTCCACCACTCTGTGACCAGCAGCTGGAGGATGGAGCCTCCACCACTCGTGGACCAGCAGCTGGAGGATGGAGCCTCCACCACTCTGTGACCAGTAGCTGGAGGAGGAGCCTCCACCAC